AATAGTGTGAGTATAATATATATATATATATATATATATATATATACCCTCAAGTTTAACAAGTAGCTCACCTCAATATGGAAATAAGCAATTTCAGGAGCGAGACCCGTAGAAGTGATAGCATACATTTCAAAGCATGTTTTTGCTAGATCTTCAGCAAGCTTCAAATTCTCCAAGTCATCTGGGGTCAACAAGTTTCTTTCAATTGCTTTCTTCTTCGTGATACCTTTTGTTGCACCAAGGGCTAGGGTTCCTGGTAGGAAACAGACCTTCAAAAGGAAGAATAATACATCACAGATTAACTAAGCATTTTCCTGATTTGTAAAGTAATGGGCAAGGAAATCATATAAAAAGCCTACAGAAAGCTATAAGAATTCAAAATTAGAGACATGAGATTCTTCATTTCATTGAATTCATATCAAGCAGAATTTAGTATGATCAAACAAGTGCAACAGCTAGAGAATTTCTGGGCTGCTCCAATGTGTACATAAGAACCACATAGAACAAGTAGATCAAAGTTTTTAATACCAATAATTTAGTATAAAAGTTGAAGGAAATCTTTATCAATCTGCTGAAGACATGTTCATTTGGAAGAAGTGGTACAGATGACTAGAAAGCCTGTTACTTTTAAGACAAAAACGATGACTGGTTGTGTTTTTTTCCAATGTTATACACAATTACACATATAAATACGAAAAGCTACCATACATCACACATAAATGCAGATATGCTATTTCAGATAGTTCCACTCATTTCTTTAAACATATTGGGTTCTGTATATTCCAGTTACAATCAATCAACTAAACCAATATATGACCACAAATAATGATATGAACAAACGGATGGTAAATAATGAAATCAACAATTTTATCTGCAGCAGTGCAAAGCTACCCAACTTGAAGCAAGAAAATTGGCTTAACATGCACAGTTTCTAAAGACTATAAAGGCATACAACAATCTGCTAATTTGCACTTCCTAAAGTGGTGTATTGTTATCTGCTAAATTGTTGCTTGTTGAAAGAAACCCATGGTTGTCCATTTTTTTCTCAATAAGTTACATATCAGGTAGCTTAATGAATATCTTAACTGAACTGCACAAACAGACTAACATTTTAGTGATTCTTTTTTTGCTAGAACAGCATTTTCTGACTTTCTCAGTTAATGAAGGACAAATGTAGCCAAATCAGACTATTATGCTTGATTTTTCAGTCATACATGAGCTTCATGGAAGACAAAATTCTTCATTTCCAATCGGCATTTACACAACTACCCTAAAGAACATAGGAAAGCTTGACAATTACAAAAGGAGTTGGGCCTTTCTAAATCATAAATAAAATGACTTTCTATTGCATATCCACATCATAGAATAACAGGTCCAATCTTAATGATTAAAGCATGAGAGCTTCAGCAACATGATCTCAAGTGGATCTTCCACCCAACATTTGGTTGCCTAATACCTTAATGTTCTACATTGTATAACAAGAAGCCTTTTAAAAAACATCTCTGTAATCATGTGACCATCTTCTTGTTCTTCTATCACATTTAGAGGACCATCTGAAGTCAGACATCAGGAAAGTTTCCATCACAGAATTACATGTATATAAAGAAGATTATACCACTCATCTACCTTATCTAGAAAAATATAATATTGAAAAAAATATATCAGGCCAATCTACATTTTTTTTTTGGGAGAACAGAGTAACAAAGTTGTTAGGAATTAAAACTTTTTCATGGATGCCCAAAATCAAGTCTAACCATCCAAAAAATTGACTTAAGAAATACCGATAGGTGTGCCAGACTATGTTGCAAAATATTTTTCTTTTTAATAATATTTTCATCTTGAAATTTATAAAAACTAGCATTAAAGCTTTTAATATGGAGACAAGCTTGTTGCAGTAACAAAAATATATACCCTAAGGAAATTAATTAAAGTTTAATACTTAAGTTCTTAACACATTTTACCAAATGGTTTATATTCAAACTACGGTGTACCTGCAATACTGTACCAATATAATCAAGTCAAACAGTGTATCACACGTGCTTGAAGAAAGATGAGTTTATTATCAATGTCAAGGCAAGAACATGCAAATACATCACCATACCAGGTGATCCATTTTAGGACTGAAAGAACCATTAGATCCATGAGGCAGCTCCCCAACAAAAACCAATCCTTTGGGAATGGACTTCCGAACAAGAAGGTGCCTCACCCCTCTCATTGCTTCTTCATACATCTGATACAAATAGTTTAGCTGATTGCCACTATTCTTTTGCTGAATCCAAACTTTAATCAAGTATTCATAGTAGCTATCACCACGAGATCCCAGCCGAATGTTCTCTCCGTTAAACTGACCTGAGTGAGGGCTGTGGTCACAAGAATGAATAGTGATGTTCTCTCATAAATTACATATATTTTCAGAAGTCATCTAGCTATTAGAGAAAAAAATGACAAGAGCGTAAAATGTCATAAAAATAAATTTTATTTGACAAGAAAACATAGTAACTAAAATATTTTGGCAGTTTATGATTGATAATTATCCTTACATCATGAAACAGAAACTCTCATGGAAAATGTCAAAGATGATCAACACAACAATGGAGTAAGAATATTTCAAATGTTATCTTCTTGTTTGGACTATCCAATAATGGAGTAAAAAATTGCAAATGCAGTTTAAAAGTCATTGAGTGCATAAAAAAGCAGAATAACTAATATAGATATAAAAAAGAAAGACAAGCAAGTCATGAATCAAAGTTGACTATGATAAATTTAGTAGTCCGAAAAGAAAGTGTAAAGAATTTTCAAATAAAATGACAATAGTTGTAGGACTTCTTAATAACTAAAAATAATCATTTTTGGTGCTCATACATCATTCCACTGGGATACAAAAATGAATTCGGATTAATAGAATCTGATCCACCATTCACCCCTAAGCAAGCAGCACAAGCTAGTAAATGGATTCTAAATGTTGCTAATAGCTGGAGTAGCATATATAGCATACATATCTGAATAAGTTCTAAACAATGGTGTAGCTTGTCAAAATGAGAAATATCAAATAGGACTTCTGACAAAGAAAATAAACCTACAGGTAACCATCAAGCTTAAAAGACAGTTGTTTGTACCTGATATGGATGGGCACCAGTCCTTCCACCTTGGGAAGAGACCTAATATGTTCCAACACCTTCATTGCCTTTGAACGATACTTGGGATCACCGGAAATTTCACTTAGGTAGTTAAACTCAAGTTGCAAGGTCGAAACTTCAGCGGTACTGCTTAAGCCATCGGGAGCTGGATGAGCAGAATGATCATGGAGAACAACATCACTGAAAGGAATTGATGTTGGACTTGAAGCGAAGGCAGATAACAGCCTGTCAGCTAAGGTCTTTGCCAACTCCAGAAAGATTTCTGATTTAACACCTTTAAGAGTCATAGGTATTCCACTATCACTTATGGTACCCTTATCTCCCCGACTTAAATGATAAGCACTGAGAAGCCCACCTAATACACGTATTGTTGTCTCAAACAAGTTAACCTGCCCTTTCTTTTCAATTCTTTCCACAAGTTGTTTTTCTATCCATGGTACTGCTTCATAAACAATTTCATCAGCACCCATTATAATGGCTGTATCCAAGGAATCTACTATGGTGGCACCTAGACCTCCCAAACCATCAGTGCCTCTTTGACTCAATGGCATAAGCTCATCATAACCCATTGCATGGTTTTTGTAGCCAGACCAAGCATGAACAAATGCCTCTTTGACTTTTTGTTTCCTTGAAAACCAATGTAGCCTCTGTTCTTCAAGACTAGAACTAACAATTTGGGCTTCATCAGGAGGAAGTTGTGGAGGAAGCCTTGGAGGTTTTCTCCAAATTTTGTCTATTATACTAACACCTTCCTTGACATATTTATGTCCTACATTTGCAGCACTATTCAAATGTATGTTAGATGCAGAATGGTCAGAACTTTTATGTGTTATCAAGTATGTCAAACCAAGGATCATCAACAGCATTAAAAAATTTCCTGTGCTACAGCCTCTGCAGCAATATCTGATATGGCTAGTGACCAGTGCTTGAGTAATCACCTACAAAGAAAGAAAAATAAAGGTACATACTCTTAGTCAGTGGTTGTCAACATCATCTATAAACTAGCCACATCATTAACGATTATTATGCAGTACAAACTTTTGAGCACGATACAAGTTCAACATCATAGTCATACATTTAGTTTAGTAGCATGAACGAGTGATCGTTGAAATCATATGCACAGATAGTGGGAGAGAAACAAGGCAAACTATTAACTAATACACAGAGTCTACAACATAGAAAGAAACAAAGACCTCAACCAAAAGTTATTCCTTCAGGTTCTTATACTACACAGATACCAAACTCTTTCCTGTGCATACACAACTTGGGAGAAAAAAAACGATAAACTGGGTACACTGATTTGTCTGAAAAAATCTTAGGAGAAGTACTCTGATGAAAGATTCCGTATTTTCACCAAACAAACGATTCAAAAATTTTGAGTGGGATGAAATTTCATCTAACCTAGCTATAGCATAACGAGTAACTAAAAGTTTCGGAAACCACGATGCGGTCTCAGCAATGTAACAAATTCTCAAGCCGAAGTCCTAATATAATGAGATCAAACATCATTATTTGACCCGCCAGGTCGCAGAAACAGAAGAACCTAATATAATGAGATCAAACGAAAACAGAGGATCTTGTGCGGCGAAGCACCTTGAGAGGGGATCGGCGGCGGAACTTGGCGTTGTCGTAGTGAATATCTTGCATGGAGTGAGGCAAAGTTGTAGATGGCTTAACAGGCAGAGGTCAATTAGGGTTCAATCTGACTTCTTGCCTCTCCGATGGCGATATCGAGGGAGAGAAATGAGGAGGCAGAAGTAAGAAGCAGAGAAATGAGGATGACCGTGGACGTGCGTTGGAGTTGGGGGCCCTCGTTGGTCTCGATTCGGGTACCGTACTCGTGGACAACCATCCTATTGGACGCCGATCCGCCGAAACTGCTGCGGCGATCACAGTTTGCGATTCTGGGGTCCACTGTGGCATCCATTCAGAAATCGTGTATAAGAAACGAAGCGGAAACTATTGCACGAGTAAATTTGTTCATGTGCTGCTAAGAAGCGAATCTTCCACGACTTAACCCCCGACAGGCTTGTCTGCGCGCCACGCCATCGTGGCGCGCTTTTGTAGACGTTAGCCAACACCATGTGTTCGGAGGTGGGCCGTGCCTTTAATCGAGGCGTTGACCAATTTTGTGGCGATGGGAATACGTCCCCATCGAGAACCAACTAATTTACCCCAATGCTTCCGATAAAGATGTAGGATTTAGCACGCATTTCACGTTAATAGCGTTTTACATGCACACATTTCACGTTGTTAGCGTTTTACATGACATCAATATTTGATACTATCAAATTATTAGAAGTCAACAGGCATAGGAGTAGAGAATTGATGAGCTGTTAGTACTATAATCTGGAGCTAAAAGTTTATAAGATGTTGATCATCTTCGAATTAGATGGAGCTCAATCTCTTTTTATACTACTTTCTCGGTAAATAACTTTTTGCCTGCACTATTTGGTTAAGGTCAGAGGGTTAAACTAGCCGTTAAATATTTAACTCGATCACTTTCAAGTTACTTCAGTTAATTCTTATAAGATTATGGTATAAGTAGTGTAATTATTAAACAAGACTAAGTGCCGCCATTAATATGCCATCAATTCAATGTTACAAAAGGCATTGAATCCAAGAGAGACCCTTTAAACTATTATATATCAACTCACGTTTTCTACTATTTGTCTTCCTCTTGAATGTTTTGATACATGTTGATAGAGCTCATTCCTCATGGTAATCGTTAGCAATCACATCAGTGTCGACATGGAGCCTCGGGGCTAATATGGTGCATCGCATCATCAAAGTCATTCCAGAAAGTTCGGAACGACGTCGCACAACACAGATCCGGGTGGTATCTCGGACTCGGGTGGGACGATCGTCTATCCCGCATTGTTCGAGGTCGTACAAGATGACGTCGCATAGCACAAAGTTGTTCCAGAAAGCTCGGAACAATGTCGCGCGACTTGGATCCGTGTCAATTGGCACTTGCACAAGAGGTATAAGCCATCACCCAAGGAGTCGGTCATCATTAACCGATCACGTACGATCGACCCTCATTCGTAAGTATAAAAGCCAACCCCCTGATCGACGTTAGGGGAGGCGCTTTGAACATTCGACCCCTTTATCTACACAAAACTGACTTAATCTTCAAAGGGGTTAAGTCAAAAAATCTCCCTCCCGACCTTGACCTGTGTGCAGGAACCCAATGACGAAGAAGTAGGCCACTCGCCACGAGAGAAGATCACGTTCGGGGGATGAGTGTCAAAATCAACTCGACCTGACGCTCGCTTCCACCATCCGAGCAACTGCGTTGGCAACCTTGCGTATCCGGGACCGAACCAAGCCATGCTGACACCTTGGCTACGTTGTAAGGATTTACCAATATTTTGGCGCTAGAAGAAGAGCTCGATATCGCAGGAGTGTCCAACGATGGTTAATCCCAAAGCCCACCCCAGTGAAGAACCCCCCGCAGTCCACCCCACCTACAAGCTCGAGGGGCAACCACCCGCTATTCCCTATGGGGACAACGATGCCATGACCCATATGCCAGATTTCTACTAGCGCCTATTCAACGACCTCGAGTTTTCCCCCTTTGAAATGCCTCGGGACCACTAGTTGTCTCACCCAAGGCATTCCTCAATCTTGCCAAGCAAGTGCAAGCTTTGGCAGGAATGATACAGATAGTCGCACCGCTCATCTCGCAACTCATACAGCTAGCAGCTCCCTTGCTGTCGACCACACCAACATCCCCTCCAGGGGCACCCAGTGCTCCTCCAGCCAACCCACCACCGCAAGCCCTAGTCCCTCACAATGAGACCGAGGAACAAATCGGAGATCCAAGAATTGCATCTGAATGAAAGCACCCCCAAATCTTGCCTGACCACGCCCCTATTTCCTGAACTCGACACTAACTCGGCCGACGACTCATTCAGGATCCAACTGTCTCTTGTCAATCAACGCCTGGATGAGTTCCAGTGGGAGTTTCACAAGTCACGAGGCGAGGCCAGGGAGAGCCACCCAGGAGGATCCCCCTTCACCCGAGAGATCCAGGACAAACCTATCCCCCTTAACTTTCGACTCCCGACTCTTGAAACATACGATGGCAGCTCCAACCGATAGAGCACCTCACCACATTCCGAGCCCAGATGGCCCTTTATGACACTTCTGATGCCTTGATCTGTCGGGCATTCCCTACCACCCTCATGAGACTAGCTCAAATGTGGTTCAATTGGTTGTAGTCGGCCTCAATCGCATCCTTTAATCAGCTCACTAAGGAATTCAAGCAAAACTTCCTAATCAGCACATAGCCCAACCCTTCCATGGCCATGCTCCTCACACTATGCTAGAGCGACGACGAATCTCTCTCTTAGTTCGTCACATGCTTCGCCGCTGAGATCCGAGGAGGCAGGTCGATCGGCGCTCGCACAAGAGGTACAAGCCGTTGCCCAAGGAGTCGGCCATCATTAACCGATCGTGCCCAAGGAGTTGGCCATCATTAACCGATCGTACCCAAGGAGTCGGTCGTCATTAACCGATCACATACGATCGACCCTCGTTTGTAGATATAAAAACCAACCTCCTGATCGACGTCAGGGGAGGCATTTCGGACATTCAACCCCTTTATCCACATAATACTAACTTAAGCTTCGGAGGGGTCAAGTCGAAAAATCTCTCTCCCGACCTCAACCTATGTATAAGAACCCGACAACGAAAAAGCAGGCTACTCACCATGAGAGAAGATTGGATTTGAGAGACGAGTGTCAAAATTAACTCGACCCAATGCTCACTTCCTTCACTCCAACAGTCACATTGGCAACCATGGAAATGATATTTGGATCAAGATTATTATTATAATTAAATTATTCGAATTGTGAAAAATGACAATTAAAACTGAGACTTTAGCAAGTTTGATTCATTTTAATAATGTTAAGCAATAGTTTACCGAAGGATATTTGATCGGATGCTTCTCCTTTTTGGATTAGTTCATGTTGTCAGCTATATGAGCAACTTTATTGTGACAATAGGAATTTGTTTATTTCAATTCTTATCGGAAAAGGTCTTAATAAATGATGATGGAATGCAAAGTAGCCTTATATTGCAGCAGCAGCTACAAAGAAAACAGTCGAACAAGAAGAACATCGAGCACATTGTTAAGAATTGATCTGAAGGTAAAGAAACAGAAGAACCAAACACGTAATTTCCTCGGGACAATAAGAATCGAGGTTTCCTAAGCAGTAGGGATAAGAAGAGGGAAGTCCATGCGTTGACCGTAAGCTGTTCATGAAGCACAATAAGCAGAACGTGTGGTCGGCTGCTGCTTCGGTGTATCCTTCTCATCAGCATTTGGCATCTCCCCGAATCCTTCTTCTAACTCTTTGTACTTGTTCCACGTCCCCTTCGCCCTAGTGATCAAGTCCTCCATCGATTCTTTCAACTCCGTCGTCGTCGTCGTCATCATCGTCCTGGCTGTTGATGTCATCTTCTCCACCGTCAGCGTGAAGCAGATAATAGCCTACAGCCACAGAATAGAATATGTGATGGTTACTGCAAAATGCTGGTACTTTCGATTGATCAGTGTCTCATGTAAGACGATAAGCGAGTTCGCCGACAAATTAGACTCTTCCATGAGAAAAGGAGGCCTCGGGTCATTCTCAACGGCAGCCCCGTGGACGTACCGGCAGACCTCTAGTTTCTGCATTGAGTTCATCGACGTTAGAAGTGTACCCAACTATCTACAGGGAGAGTACGTAGCAGCCTTTTTGACATTAAAATAAAGACTTCAACGAGGATGCTGAAGCTGATCGAGTGTCGTGATGTGTGCTGTGAGTTGCATTCACAGCAAAAACCCTAGATTCACACTCCTAAAATCATTAGATCATTGGATCAATATTTGTCGAGAGGATCTCACGGACAAGAAAAGTTGGTTTCAGTCAGACTAAAATCTAAACGGCCGAGACACCAGCTTAATCGGTAGAAGCTCTGTTCCTTGCTATCTCATGGATTTAAACTGCCCTTTCTCTTTTGTTACGAACCCTCGATCGCTTGAAAACGAAGGAACAACAAATGATTATAATCTTGGACAAAATGTGTAGAGAACTGGTTACCATATCCATGAGCATTTTCACTAACAGCATTCCTGCTTCGTACTTTTCCAGTTCTTCGAACCAATCTTTGGAGAACAAACGAGATTTTCTTTGTCCTTTCTCCATGGAAGAGAGATCCTGCAACCAGTGACATGAAATCATTTCCATCAGTGATGGAACGAGACTATACATGTCAATCAAAATTTTAGATAATCTATAAGGGAATTTGTGTGTAGCATATTTGTCCCCTCAAATTTAACATAGTCTATCCATTCCTCTAATAACTATATATATCATTTATGCATGTTGACTATGCTATCGATATGAGTTGGCCAGTTACGTCGCATAATATTTTAGAGGAAATAGATGTCGCTCGGGACAGGTTTGAATGCTTCTGATCAAGTCCAAATTAATGGAAGGTGTCAGCTAGCTTAGGTTATACGAGAGATAGAGAGGAAGAAGAGGGTCGTTTGTATGAATACGGACTGCATCAGGTTGAGTCGACGAATCGAAGCATAGCCATGAAAGTAACAACATCGATGGCCTTCCTCCCGAAGGAAGAGACTCTACCTTCTTCCCGAATAGAATTTGCTGCACCGCCTCGCGCGTATTCTGCAAGTTGGTTTTCTTCGACTGAGCTTGATTACCGAGTTTGTTGCCTTCAGTGTTCATCGTGCCCTTTCCATCGCCTCCTGACGGTCCTTCATTGTGCGCTGTCCATGACGTGCACCACTCCACCGCAGCGTCAGGTGCAGGGCGCGTCAAGCTGACAGAACCCAAGGCGCAAGCGACGACGAAAGCTGCGCCTGCGCCAACCGCCGCCACCCTTGGCCATGTCCGTCCTCCAGCGCGGCCTTTTCTTCCTTCGTCTTTTTCCGGCGTCGGCGGCCGCGGCGGCTGAGCATGGGAGCAAGATACCCTATAATGGCGGGGAAAGCTGAGGTGGCCAACCGGGGAAAGGTTGGTCGTGGGGTGGAAGGGGAGGCAGCCCGGCCTTTTGAATGGAGTAACGAGGGCGGCACGGAGGCAGAAGATGGCTTCCATGAGTCGCAGTGGTGAGTCACCGTGTCTATGGGCTTTCAACATGGCAATATGAATTGGTGGAGGAGAGAATAACGATTTCTTGTTGTTAGACGCTTCTTTTCGAGTCTTTTAGCAAGGGATCGTATTCAATGGTGTCCTTTGCTGAGACCCCAAGTCAGGTGCCTGCGTGCATGAATGACTCTGCTCTTTGCTGCTCGCATCTCAGCGCAGTGTGTGTAGTAAAGAAGATGTGGAGGGACGGTGAGTCAGACATCGAGAAGCACGTGTATAACACTTCCTAGGCCTTCTAATGTTGGGCTTTCGAAACCATCCTTGGGCCTTAATAGAGTATACAATGTCCCACTAAGATCCTTGATACATATCTCCTCCCATTAATTTTTTTAATATTCATAATATCAAACCGGCACATATGTCAATGTTAGTTAAAATATAAAAATAATAATAGATAATATATTAACGATCAATCATCATCTGATATATAAGCACCACATCAAAGCCATCATAGAAGGAAAAAAGTTTAAGTCAACCTTCACGCTCGTCTTTTTGATGCGGACAAAAGTCTAAAGTAGATCATTCAACGTTGTATCCCCCTTTAATACTTACGTATGTTGAAATAATTATAGATTAATTCTTTCAAGATCAAATATTAAAGGTAATCCTCGATGTCATAAAAAAATTATATAAAAAAAATAACTCAAAGCTAACTTGAGACGTCGAAGGATTGGATCAAAAAATTTCTTTCAACAACGATCTTGATGTAATGATATAAGAGCCACCTCGGATATATCTCAAAACTATCTCAGATAAATATGCGCTCTCATATTTGGACCGTGGCGTTGATTCAAACGTTAATACGATTTTGCTAACAAAACTATCAGAGGTTAACTATAATAATATACATGTAAATTTGGATAGATAAATAAGAAAAATGAGTGGAGGGATATGTGTGTAATTTTGTCAAAGGAATACGAGTCATAAACTAAAACTTAATCGATGGTCATTAACGAGCAGTGGTCACAGTCGTTGAACCCTTGGGATTACCCCCCGAAGCAATAAAGTGTCGGAAGCGGGAAGGAGAACGCCAAAAAAGGTTCACCTCGTTCCACCGACTCCAAACCCTCCTCTCTTTTCTGTCGGAATTATGATTCCCTTCCGTTTGTTCGCGAATTCTTTTTCCAAGGCTTGCCTCGATGTGAGTTCGAGGAACCCTTCTCCGGACCTTCTTCCGCGGTTTTTCGTTTCGTTTTCTTTGGGATCGTTCTTGAGGTTTTTTTTGCTGCATTGGTCTTTTCGTTCAAGACTTCCTTGCAGGATCTCAACGACAAGAACATCTCATCGGCCGATCCTTGATCGTATCCATGAGATCGGTTGTCCTCCTGTAGAGACGGCGCACCGGCAACGACCTTCTCGGCCGAGAACTTGCCATGGGCCTTGCGGTACTTGTCGAGCTTAAGCTTGGTGATGACGACCTTGCAGAGGTTGATGTTGACTTTTACGGTGGTGCCGTTCACCTTCTCCCGGGTAATGCGCTCGACGTGGATGACCCACTTCCGGCGATACACCTGCACGATCTTGCCGTCTCGGCCCTTGTGGGTCCCCCGCCGCCACCTGCACCTCTTCGTCCTTGCGCACCGGGACCGACCGCGCGTTGTACTTGTTACCCCGTCGGCCGAGAGAAGCGCGCTCATCAGCACGCGCCGGACGCTCGAAGGAGCAGTGAAGTGCTCCTTCCGGCACTTCCACCGGGAGCCTGACACACGCGGGTTGTACTTCATCGTGGCCGGCGGCTGCGGCGAGCGGCGGAGGCCCTTTTTTCGCATTGTTTGGGATTATCTTTTGTGGTTGAGGATGCGGGTATGTCTCTCTTGCTTTTTGTCTGTACTCACAAGGTAACACATTTTTATTTACATACGCATATTTTGTCATCTACGTTTCCTGGAATTAGTTTACAAGTATGATTTGATGGAAGCGGAGATGAGTACCTGGCATGATATAGGTGATTTTTTAATCATACATAATGTGCAAGTTACGGTAGCAATTCGACATATAAAAAAATAAAATTGATTGTTTATGAAACTAATAAAATATGTTGTAAGAAGCATCGATACATTAGAGTACTGTGATCTTAGATTGTTTCATCGATTTAAATGACTGGACATGATTTCGAAATCTTTAGATGAAAGTACAGTGAAGTTTGATATATTATTTTTCTAACACTCCGATTAGTCTCACATTGAAAGTGGATAACACTTAGATTGATTTATAAAGATATAAAGATTTATTCAAGTGTATTATTATCAATTTAAGCTGAAATATTTTGATCAATGATTTAAATCAAATGAGGTTGATAGACTAATATCCCATGAGACCAAATCATGACATTTTTTTCATGGGTATGTTAGAATGTTTTATATAGTTTTGTTTTGTTTTTTTTCATTTCTAGGCTTTCAAATGTTGCAGATCATATTTAACAATGTGGATATTCAATTTGAAACCTCCATTACTGATTTTGGATGATGGGATCGAGGCTTTAATACCCTTGATGGACTTCAAGCTTAACACTCTAGATATCCAAATGTTTGTATGCGCATGCTATACCATATCCTTCTAATCTTCTAATATTTTAATTCCCTGATTTTGTCCTGGTTGATTGAAATATAATTCTTGCAGCTTTCTATTGGTAGCAAGCAGTTTTGTTTATGTGAATCAACTTTGTGGGTTTGATCTTTGTGATATTTGGTGTTCTGTTACTCATTGTTAGTCTTTAATGAATTATGTGATCGAACTAATTTTTGAGAGAAAGAAAAAGGTAGATTAGCTTAACATCAGTTCGTGCAAAACATCAGGAGGTGAATTACCTCTCCAAAAACCATCAACTGTATGTTTAGTCGCAAATCTAGCCAACTTATGTGCAGTGTGGTTAGTGTTTCTAGGAACAAAATTCCATCCAGTGACCTCAACAGCTTTTGCATGGTAAAAGGTATATTGGCATAAGTTCCGTGGATGCTAAGGGATGCGAGATGGGTCAGAGAGTATGTTGACAAGATTATGAGAATCTGATTGGACCTGTATGTGTGAGAAGCCTTCCTGATAGGCTTTGAGAAGTCCCTCTTTAATGCTCCAGCATTCAGCTCTGATTGGGCTGCTTGCCTTGTGGGTGGAATAACTAGCAAGTTGTGTTTCCTTGCATGTGCTCAAGGATGAAGCCAGCTCCTGCATTTGGAGATTTAACCTTGTATGAACCATCACAGTTAAGGATGCACAGAGTGTTGTTAGTCATTTCCCATGTTAAGAGTAGTCAGTTTCCTTGTTGAAGCCCTCAGAAATTCTGGGAGGGCAGGGTTCTTGGTTAAGCATTTCTGCTCAAGCTCGTTCAACTTTTACATCCCTGAGTTCCTGATGACCTATACCCACCACTTCTAAAGCTTTCAAGATTTGGTAACTTTTACATCTTGCTTCAAATGTAGAACATTCTTGTCATGCTTGTTGCAAAAGTCTGCATACTAAAACCTTTATAATGATGTAAGTGCTATTGGTCAAGATGCAGGTTCTGGTTTTAAGTTTGATCTTCATGGGTATAGCAATATGTATTTCTTCTGGGAGACAAACATCAGCAACAATTATGATCATCTTGAGATAAATGATTCTTCTAGAATCGCATTACGTGGCAGAAAGTTCTTGCACTCAAGTCAGCTGATTTCTCCTGATTAGCACAGTTGATTTTTCCAATTGCAACCAGATCTTATCGAAAGTAAGAAATTTGGCTGAGAACTCAGTTGCATTAACAAATGAAAGCTGAGCATCTGTGGCCGATAACATATCCTGGCAAAACAGAACGAACACAACGATATTCTTTGGGGTTCTTGCAGCATGGGCAGCTACACTGGTAGGTCTTGTCTGATATTCTAAATAGCTTTATTCCTGGATCGAAGTATGGATATCTGAGATGAACGCAGATGTAGTAGCTCAAGTAATGCACCAAATGGGTGGTGTTGCTAGGATTTGAAAGAGTTTCTTCTTGGGCTTTGAGCATCATTGTACCACTGATTGATCTTTCATTGAAGCAATGGGACAGGTACTTGTCTTTCAGTGACCCCATGATTATTACAATCACGGTACCCAGATAGTAGGTTATTTTTTCCAAAGGTGATGATGTCCACTTGGTCTTGATGTTTTTGGTGCTCAAGGAGTTTAATTGCTTTTCAATCTCATTATTTACCTTAACAGCATTTGTGGCCTGGATTCCTGATGAGCTTCTCTATCATGCAGGAATTCACTGAACAACCAAGCCTCGAAGATAACTTGGTGGTATGGATTTAGATGGAGTTGCTTTCCTGAGAGCATCGGCAACCTTTTGTCTCGGAATCATGTACGACTTTTCTAGATGACATGTAGAATAAATAAGCTTGAATGCTTTCGGCTGCAGATTGCTAAATCTGTGGAAGCTGACTAGTAGATATTGCAGGTGCTATGCCTACGAAAAGTGGCATCATATCATCATCTTACCTTAACATCTTCTCGTGAAATTTCTAGCTAAGCAACCATTGAGGTAGCTACTAACATCCAACGGCTGATTGGAAGCATTGATTTAGGATGCCATCATTGACTTATTACCTTATTGTTTTGTGGAAAACCCTATTTAGGTTGACTTGCTTCGGTCCTGAGATCTGGAAAGGCTCATTGTTGCCGCCCGTTGAATGGGCAAAAACGCATTGGACTTCCAATCCCATTCAAACCCAACCCGTAAGTAGCTTAATTCCCAGTCCAATAACATACGGTCTTCAATTAATTCGGTGCCTCCTCCCTTCCCAGCTTACACATCCGTCGCCTGCTTCTCTCACTTGTCCGTTCTTCAAACTCCACCACAGCCTAAAAGGAAGTCAAAAGAAGAGAAAAAGTAAAAGAGGCCACAAAAGGTAGCACCATGACTTCTTCAAACTCAAACCACCCTTTTCAACGAACCAAATAATTCTGTGTTCTGTTGTTCGTCATACGCTTCATCAAGTCATAGATACTCGATGGTGTTGCAACCACCAACAGTACCAACAGAACACAATTAAAGTAAAACAAGTTCCGTCGAAAATGAGTTCTAATAATACCACAACAATCAACTACCTCCACCTTAATCCAACCTATGCATCCATAATTGTGCGGCAACAGCCAACAAAATAAACAAAATTCGATGGAATAGAGTTCCAATGCAACAGAACTTCCTAATCCTCCCAAGTCACACATATAAAATGTTTGACCAAAACTATATGTCTAGATATAATGATTCCATAAAATAATTATATCCTGGATGAGTGAACAATCTAATACAATAATTCCATAAAATAATAAAAATCTAAGTTACATAATTTACTTACGTCTAATAAAGGTTTAATCGGACGTGTAGGGAAAATGTGAAAAGGAAATTGCGTAAAGAGGGGAAGACATATTTGGGTTGTGAAACAAATTAAATGCACAAGTATTCTGGGGAATATAACAGACTATAAATAGCGAGACATCACCTCGCCGTCTTTTTCGATTCATCACGCCATTCCTTTCTCCATCTCTCTTTCTCTCTCTCCCCCCCTCTCGCTATCATATCAAATCCCATCTCGTTCCCAAGAATCCAAATAAAGCCCACAAAAGAGTGGAGAAGAGCAACTGGGAGCGCAGTGAGACATGGAGGGGGAAACTTTTGCAATGGCGCAAAAGATCGCTTTTTGCTGAATTATTTTTTTATTTGTTTAGGCGCTTCTTTATCTCGATCGAATTTGCCATATCTTGATCGCTTTCGAGCAGCTGTTATTGTTGTTATCTTCTTTTTGTTGTTGGTATTTGGCGCTGTTTGAGGAAAAAGAAATGGCTGCGGTGACGGAGAACGCGATCGGGTCGGACGATCAGTTCATCCGCTGCCAGTCCCCGGCGCCGACGCCGGCGGAAGTTGAGACTGAGTACCAGAGAGACGTGAGGAAGCTGGTGAATTTTCTGTCGAAATTGAACCCCTCCGCCAAGGAGTTCTTCCCTTCTTTGCACACCGCTCGCGACGGCCGGAAATACGATGGCCGGCTGTCTGCCGATGCACCCATTTTTGTGGCGTCGACTGATTGTTACGGTAACGGAGTGATGGGTAATGGTGGCAATAAAGATTCGAGCAGCGATGGTTCATCCAATAGCCAGCCAAATCGCAGAGTACTGAATTTGATCCTTCTTGCCTTTTTATCTGTTTCGGTATAATATCTAAATTATGTTAGATTGTACATGGGTTTTGGGGTTTAAGGACTTCTATCTTAATTTTTCGCAAAAAAAGTGAATGATTTTTCTTTTTGGAATTTGTTTGTTCATTTCCGAGGAAAAGGAACAAATTGGAGGAAATGGGATATTTTGGATGGAGTATTCTTCAATCTGTTGTTATTCTCTCGGCATTTGGGGGCAACTACGTTGGAATGTTTTTCTTCTTAATTTTCCTTTTAGGTTTCTTTTTTATGGTCTATCATGTGATTTAGAATGAGCTGTTTTTTATTTGGCAGAGGGGAAGTGGTTATGACCAGGGGTGGAGGAAGACGAAAGATAGAGTTCGAAAAGCTCAGACTGAGGAGAGCATTAGGCGAACTGTGTATGTTTCTGATATTGATCAACATGTAAGCCAATCACACAAACCTTTTAGTTCGTTCATTTTATCCCCTCTTGTTCTTCTTCTTTCTTCCGACGATCGTTGCTTTCCATTGATATGCAATCTCCGAGGGACATATTCTTCTTATGTCTTTCTTGTGTGGTAGCCTGAACTCAGTTACTGATATGTATCAGGTGACTGAAGAGAAGCTTGCTGAAATATTTGCTACCTGTGGCCAAGTAAGTTTCTTTAACTGCAACTAGTAAATATGCGGAATATCCTATAGCGCGTATCGTGATTGTGCAAATTGATCGAGTATTGCTGCAATTTGTCCCTTTACAAAGTATCACACTTCTTTCTTCTACTCATATATTGCTGCAATTTGTTTCTAATATATCTGATTTATTGAAAAAGATAGTCGGCAATATAGCTAATCATGTTGATCACTTACGCTGAACCTTTGATCTTGTATGCTTCAGCTGGCCAATATCTGAATATGTTGACCGGATAAAGTTTTTGGCAAATACATTATCAAACATTTTAGGAATTTAACAATCATCTTCAGCTTTGGTTTTCTACCAATTCTGATAGTGATTTAGTTTTCTCTGCTACATCATTGACATGATATGATATGATAGTTGCTGTGCTGTAATACAGGTTTTTCTGTTGCAATTTCTGATGCATATAGGTCTCCATCATGACAAGACCAAAGTCAACCTTATCATTTATAAGTAGTGAGGAAATAGCAGTACATATTAGTAGTAGCTGATTTTGTGGGGATATTGTTTCTGATTAATATCTCTTTCATTTTCTAGTGCTCACAACCCAAATAATGATGTATTATGGGGCATAGTCTGTGCATTGGAGTATATTTTTCTCCAATCAAGGGAACATTTGACTTGATAGTTTGCTTTTCATAAATGAGTGTTGTTTTTCTTTGATAGCATTAAACTATGCTGTTCATGACATTCCAGCTACAAATAACTTATGAACCACATGCCAGCTATAAATACCATACAAGCCAAGGTCTTTGTTCTACTTCTTCAACTCTAGTTTGCATAAGTGAGTAATATGGTCATTTAAAAAGTTATGGAAGAGATTACAACATGGTTTGTGCTTTGTATCGAACAGTTTTCTGGTTGATTTGATACCCATAAATGGCATAACCAATATGGTAATAGTCTTTTTATATGGCATTACAATGGATATTCTTGTTCGTAAGGAGGCTTGGATGACACAATCTTGAATAACCTGTCATCGATAATCTATCTCCAATGCGTGATACATTATGCTGCCCCTACGATGAGGTGCACTTTTATGCAGATAAGCAATTTTAAGCTGTTATTGAATCCTTCCCATGAGTTTTCTTTAATACCCCAGTAAAATGGGACTTTCGTATATATGCTTTATGAAACATGAACTACTGTGTCTTTAACATTTTTGCTATAATCGATGTAAAGAACCATTTCAGTGACTATGCTATCTTGTCATGCAAATCACAATGATCTACTCTATGGTATGAGAAGGGAAGGTGGGATGCACATCTTGTTGAATGACAAGGAAAAGAATTGCCTGGTGTAGAGCTAGGGAAAGGACTGGGTGGATTTTTCCTCAGTACATATCTCTTAGTTATATGTGCTATTCAAGTCTTGATAGTAGATGTGCCTTGTTTTTCATTTATAGGTTACTGTTGAAGTGCTTAAGATGGTGATGTTGATTTTCTACTTATTTTTCAATGTTATTTCCCTGATTATTTTTCACCTTTTTATTTTGAAGGTAGTTGATTGCCGAGTTTGCGGTGATCCTAACTCAGTTCTCCGATTTGCATTCATAGAGTTTTCTGATGAGGGTAATTTCACATAGTTCCTTATTCTGCGGCATATGTACATTGATATTACATTTAAGGGTATCGTGCATCTTCTAACTAAAATTGTGGGCTTTTTGTTGATAGATGGCGCTAGAGCGGCCCTAAATCTTGGTGGGACCATGCTAGGGTACTATCCAGTCAGAGTCTTACCTTCCAAGACTGCAATTCTGCCTGTGAACCCAAAATTTCTTCCTAGGGTGAATTCTTGACTAGATCTTAAGTGTAGCTATGAATATTGTTATTTATCTATCGACATTAATTAGAAGATATAGACATTATTGTAGACTTCCGCATGATCACTTCAGTTTGGTTGAATTGTTTCTCACTGTGAAGATATCAATGCAGTCTGACAATGAAAAGGAAATGGTTGTAAGGACAGTATACTGCACGAATATTGATAGGAAGGTAGATTGACTTCTTCTTATGTCATGCTCTACTTTTTGCAAATGCTACATTTAGATTGTGTGCAAAGATAACTTAGAAAAAACTAAGTCTATTGTTGCAATTATTACTACCAAATGGATGTACATGCAGTTTTGTATTATTGATCATAGGACTAGATGAATTGCCTGTTTGTTACTTTACAATTTATCATTCGTGCAGGTCACACAAACAGAATTAAAAGCTATCTTTGAGCAATGTTGTGGTGAGGTCAGCTAATTATCCATGAGATAATACATTTTTGGTTAATTGTTTTTTATGGGTAATTATCAACTTATTTTTGTTTTCTACAGGTCTCTCGTTTGAGGCTTCTTGGTGATAATATGCACTCAACACGTATCGCATTTGTCGAGTTTGTACGGGTAATCGTTAGTGAATTTGCTTCTTCAGAACTGAGTTTAATCGTTGATGTATTTGGATTCAGTTTAGAAAATGTTAGCTGTTCATTAAATACTAATAGGCTACAAATTCATTATAATTGCAGAATCTTTTTAACAGTATTTTGTTTCTGAGCTCGGCTTATGGTTAAAAAAACCATATATAAAGAAGGTTGCTTTGTTAAAATAAGAAAGTTGAGATGGATATGCAGAGTTAGTTGTTAGAAAATATAAGATTAGAAATTCATCTTTCAGCAACTAGGTGTAGTCCCTATAGATAATAAAAAGAAAATTAATTGTGTAAGATGGCATGATCATGTTCAAAGGAGAATCATAGATATTGTATTTAATTGAAGTAAGTCAATTAGTGCTGGTGTTGCTGGGAGAGGCAGAGGAAGATTTAGGAAGATTTCATAAGAATCTACAATTAGTGATTTGAATGCTCTTTAGATAACTAAAATTATTGCCTTATATAATGCTGGAAAAGAATGTAGCTGACCCTAAAAATTTGAGACATTCGGCTTGTTTTTGTTGTTGTTTTTTGTTCGTGAGCTAATTTTTGTTCTCTAAGCATTCTCTTTTTTGTTGTTTAGTTGATACACTGAATATGCAGGTTATAAGATTTTTCTTTTACTCTTTCAGAAAGCCTGAAGAATATACTGATATTTAATTGAATATAATGTTATTTAGTGATTCCTCAGTGATTCTGACTTCTGTTTGTAAGTATCATTGAATATCGAAATCTGATACTGTTCTGCAGTCTGTTCATGTTAATAACCACAACTGTATTTTAAGTTTAAACATCAAAAGGTATTCTGGCATTTGTCCCCATGACCCTCTTCCTGTTAGTCTTAGTTTGGATGTAATCTTATTGTTTAATGTTAGTTCTCTCGTGAGGTTGCATAGTCTGTTAATTCCTGACAAGGGCATCTGTTTGAATCTAGAAGCCTTTGGACATCTAAAGTAAATCTAGCATGTTCTTGTCATGATTTGTTCGTCATTTAAAGTCATACATATGAATTGATCTTTTGCTTCACATGATAGTCAAAGGCTGAAGAGGTGAACTCTTGAATCTTGGATATGTCTTAGTAATTATTGTGTCTATTAATCTGTTGTATGCTGTTTTCTTGGAAGGTTTATTCTTTCTTGCTAGACACCCTTTTAAAGTAATACATTCACATCAGTCTTCTGCTAAGCATAGCAGTCAAGGCTGAAAAATTGAATGTGCAAGTAAACCTTTTTAAGTGGGTTACTGTGTCTTTTGTTGTGATATATGCTGGCTTCTGCATGATTTTTATTCTTCTTCCCTATGAATGGCAGGCAGAAAGTGCTATAGTAGCCCTGAATTGTACTGGCATGGTTTTGGGAGCGCTACCGATCAGGTATCATCCTAATTCCCCCCCAATCAGTGTGCTCTATTCTGTAATTAACCCAAGTTTGTGGTTTCAGAGTGAGTCCTTCAAAAACACCAGTGAGGCCTCGTGCACCACGAGCTGCATCGAACTGACTTGGGCTTATCATCAGCTGAACTCGTTGCAGTTCTCAACGTAACCTGACTAAGGGCTCTATTGGATTTCCATTTATTATTGGCAAAACGAAGAAAAAATCCTGCAATTTCCTTCCAAACAGGCTTTAATGTTGGAGTATTTTCTGCTGTATAACGGGCTTTCTTTCTTTTATTTGTTCCTTGTATCAAGGGGGTCAAATAACCTTTGTGGGCAACAGATTTGGTCTCTGTATCTGATCTCATTTGCCTGTTACTTTAGCTGAACTACTTGGATAATCTATGCAATTACGTGAAGTTTTAGTACTGCCTCATTTCTTTATCTATAATTATCTTCATTGTATCTTTTCTCAATCCAAATTACGTGTTGTTTTTGTATTGAAGAAAGTTACGGTTCTTAGCAAAGGGATAAACAAGCTATTTTACATTGTCGTCATTAATGTTCCTTTATTATCCTAGTACTTTTAAACTATCTAGTTAATGATCTTTCCATAGAGCTGGTATCTTCTTCTTCTTGAACTTTGAAGGCAACATATAGATTGTTATTTGTCTAATGTTAGGCACTGAGAGTACAAGTGATATAGGAGTTTTCTAGCCCACAGGATGAACTTTGAGCTTGCAACACATTGTTTGGCATGTTCAAGTTTTAGCCAGAGAAGAGGCTCAGCAAGCAACAAGAAGAAACAATGAGATTACTGGCAAAGATAATAAGCTTTGAGCATAGAAGAGATCATTATGCATGCTTCTATCTCTCTTATTTATGTTTCAGGACCAGAAAATTGTAATGAATCGTGTCAGAATAGCCCTTTTTTTTTTGGGTATTACTTATCCAACAACATAAGCAGATTAAGCTAACTATGTTTTCTTTAAAATATACTTTTATTATATTAAATTATAGATATGTATTTAAATATGAGAGTTATCATTTTATGTAATAATACACTAATCAATTGAGACATTAAGAAAACTATTGAGCAATAATACTCACTCTTCTGTGACTACTACAGCCGTCTCATCCGTCATCAGCATACGCCAAACTCTTCCACCTTGATTTGTGCACCAAGTGAGCCGTTAATTGTTTATGGTGGCTGAAAGGCGACGTTATCCAACTCGCGATGTAGGCCGTAGGATCGCTCGATCATACGACCACGATCAAAACGATACCCTCGTGGGCACGGATTGACTCGCGAGTCGACTCGGTAGAATCGGTCGACTCGTCCGAGCGCCCGATTGAACCAGATGGTCTCAAACCTCAGCCCCACACCCCTCCCGACCACCCCGGCGCAGACCCGTGCCCTAAACGCAGTCTCCCTTTCTCCCCAGCGACTGTTTTGGCGTATCCTCAGCGCACGGCGGTTGACTTCCTCTCCATCGGCGAACGGCGGCTGACTTCCTCTCCATCGGCGAACGGCGGCAAGCTCTTGTCGTTGCGGCGTTTTCCTCGGCGAACGGCGGCGGCTTCTTCCTCTCCTGGTATCTCTCTGTCTTTCTCCTCCTCTTCCTCCTTCGCGGTCGCACACTGCCTTCTTCTCATGGCAAGAAGTGGAGACCGAGGAGCAAAGGAAGGCGAAGAAGAAGAGGAACATCACCGAAACCCCTTCCTTTCTAATAGCATCAACAAGCCTTGGACTTCCAAAACTCAGTTCAGGTAAAAATCCTTCAAACAGTGCTAAATTTATTTAACTTTTTCATCAAGAAACGATATATTGATAACTTGTGCTGATTATTCGAACAATAGGAGTGAAGTATCCAAGGCTTGTTGGGATGAGGAGATGGGGATGGGAGAGATCATTGAAAAGAAGGGAAGCATGTGGGCCACTACCGGAGTCATTCGGAACGGCAAGCTATATTGTCACATTGAAGAAATCCTGTGAGTATTACTCTCTCTCTCTCTCTCTCTCTCTCTAT